CTTCTTTTTCGTGATGGTCTTATCCCCCTTCAATTGGCAAACAATTCGATTTTATTTGATTTAATTTCGTTCTTTTTATCTCGTTTATGGAAGCCGGAGTGTGAGTAAAAAAACTTTTTGCTTTAACTCGGCAAAGTCAATTAGGGCAACTGTGCAAACATTTGTTTACACATTCACAGACTGGATGGAAGTGGAAAAGGGAAAGAGCCAATGGACCATTTGAACTCGGTGCTACTACCAACTGCCATTGGCAACGTTTTGCTTAATTAACATTAAATTGTGTTGTACTACAAGCGCCCCATCGTAACCGAGTCTTATCCTCCACCCAGAAAAGTGTTAAGACAAAGGCAAATTGCCACTAAATTGGCACTTAAGGAATTTCGCTGAGCTGGCCAAAGGACGATGTCCTTCTTTTGCCCCCTTCGACTGTCAATTAAAGCCCAACTGATGTTTAACAATTTAATTATGAAACTTAACGAGTTTATGTTGAACTACAGCCTGAAACTGCCTGTAAATGGCATCGAAACCTGCCCTTTGGGCAATTGTAAAAGACGAACGTCTTTCCCCCTGTCATCACAATATTTTGTTTGTTTTTGGTTAAATAATTGCAATTTTTCAGTATCTGTGTATATCCAATTAAATTTAATTTAATTAAACATAGCTTAGATATTTGAAAGTTTTTTAAAAAATGTATTATTTAATTTGAAAATATTCTTACCTAATTTCACTTTTGTCTTTAGGTAAATAATTGCAATTAGCTTGATGTATATTTTCTTAGTGTCTCGTATTAAGTTTATTTACTTTTTACTAACCCATTTTTAATATAAATAACATACCTCAGATGTTTCTCAGTTTAGTTTTCTTTCATCAGCTCTCAACCCAATTTACTTCGCATTGCAATTATGATATTCAAAAGAATTGGTTGAACCAATTTTGGATATTAGCCGGCTACATCTTTGCCTATTTAGCCCTGCAATTTTCGTGGCTGGGTTTTTGTTGGCCCTAACCATTCAATTATCCGGGCACAAAGGAAGCCTTCATTAGCAGCCAAACGACTTTTAAATTTGCTTCTAATTATTGTGCATTTGTTGGGCAGTTATGCATTTTCCCGCTTGACTTGGCCTTACCACCACTGGCACTTCATCTGCACTTTTCCGAGGGTGTATGCCCCGTGTATTTATGGGCCGGGGCAAACGTTGCATTTGTGCAGTAGTTTTTAATGAGTTTTTGTTGTTTTTTCGACGGCGTTTGGAAAAGTTTCCATAGCCCTGCCACTGATGCCCGACTGACTAGATGACAGACTGAGTGGAAACGCTTGACTGGCCGACTTGGACTGCAGGCACTCGAAAAACTAATCAGCGCGGCCAAAGTTTTTCCTGGCGGCCAGCTGAAAAGCTTTGCTATCCCAGCCTGGTTTGTTTTTCCTGGCCCTCCTGGCCAAAAGACTTTACAACATAATTAAGATTGTTGCGAGCGACTTGAGTGCGTTTAATGAGGAACGGCCAAGGCAGCCACTGGCTTTTCCACAGTTTTCCTTGTTTTGCGCAAAAGTTTGCAACATCAAGAAGAAAAGGGGGGAGGGGGGGAACATTTTCGGGCTCGTTACTTATCTTGCTCATTTCCTTTCAGTGCACTTTTGTGTTGGGCATTAACATGGTCATTATATCCTGCATCCTGGGCTGCACATAATGTCCGTTGGCCAGCTGCACTTGCCAGCCACTTCTTTTTTTCGGGGGCCTTTGTTTCTGGCCATAATATGAATTATGTGCGCCGCTCAAGTGTTTCCCGCACCCAATTGCATAATCATAATCATATGAATTTCCTTTAGGAGCTTTAGCAGCACGAGTATCTTCCCCAGGATATCCCCATCTGTATCTGTTTATCTACTGCTCGGGTTTTTGTTTCGCACCTCCGGCCATAAAACTAACTATTATTCGCACTCTCTGGCTAATGTGCTAAAAGTTCAGCGCACGCTCCAGTGGTTTTATGGCTTCAAAGGCGTGGAAAACACGCCGGGAAATCCCCTTATCGGACTACCGCTCTTCCGGCAGACCACTAATCTTGGAGCATTTAGTTTTCATTATAGGCACTTGACTGAACAATTTTATTGTGCTGCTTATAAATAAAGCCGCACTCGGTGGAGAGTATTGTTCCACTGAGTTATTTTAATTTGTTTCTAATTTATGTTATGTTTGTGTATTCAATCTCTAATGGAGTCTTTTAACCATACAACATAGTACGTTCTAAAAAACATAAGTATTGTTATATGAAATATAATTAATTTTTATTCTAGCAATATTGTTTTAGTTGAAGTCCTTAAGATCAATTAAAAATGGGATGTAAATGAAAAATATTTACATTTGTCGGGCCTGGTTTTTAATTCGGCTACCAATATTTAAAAAAACAAAAGCCGAAGCAATCTTAAACTAGTCAAAGCTGAATTTAAAACCCTACATAAAATAAATATGTGCATTTACATTCCAGTTTCACTCTATGATTTTTATATAACCATTACTTATTCAGTTGTGAAAAAATAGCAATTAATAAAGCAACAGTTTTAATTTTAAAACCAATATTTGCCTCACTCTAATAAAACTTACAAGAGTTCACCGTGAAAAAATTCGAAAGTGAGAAATTGGCAAATGGACCAAAAAGAGTTCACGATTCCGTTCGACTTCAATTAACAAACCAACATGCAAATGTGGTTCGGATTCCCGAATCAAAAAATCAACTTTGCATTTGCCCTTACTACCATTTTACTCATTTACTATCATGTCCTTTTTCACCATGATGTCCTTTTTTGTGTGAGTTTCCCAGAGCTGGGTGCTAAATGTCAGCAATGCAATTAAATCGGCAATGGCCAGTGAGGAAAAGGGATCTGGTGGGAAATTCTCTGGGGTTCTCGGGAAAAGCTGGGAGTTTGCCGGGCGCGTTATAAAATTATGAGGCGAAATTGGATTTAAAAACAACCAAGCTGTCCTGGTCTCTAAAGTGGGAAAAGCTGGCTAAGAGGGTGGATGAGAATGAGAAATGTTGGCGCCATTAGCGCCATTTTCTTTGGATGTCCCTCGATGTCCTTCGCTTCCGCTCCTTTTTGCTTCTCCTCATTTTTTTCCTCTGCGGCTGCTGCATTTGATGAGTTGAAAATTGTAATTAAACTGCGTTTGTTGTCATTGCATTTAAAAATAATAATAATAAATAATGCATAATAGGGGCGGAGTGGGACAAAAGCCAAGTCTGCTGCAAGGGAAATGAATGGAAATGAAGGCAAGGATTTGGCCAACGTTATCCTGGACTGCAGCCGTACTTAACTATTAAAACTTTGGCAGGCTGGCAGTTGGCAACTTCATGAAATGACGTGCGAAAAAGTACGGTGAGGAGAGCAAATGAAATGAATGAAATCCGATGAAATACAGAAAATATGACGGAGTGAAAAGGGTTTTTGTCAGCTCCGCTTGGGCCTGCTGAAAACGCTTTAATTAAAGTGAAACGCAAACATTTCAATTAAGAAGCGACTGTAAGCTGATTTCAATCTGGCTAAAAGGGATAACTTCCTGCAGACATTTTGTCCCTTGCCTTTTGCCCTTTTTCGCTTTTCCGGCTGGCTTTTCCTCAATGTCCTTCGTTCGCTTAGATGTGTGCGTGTCGCCATCGCAGTTCAAATGTTAGGTCACAATTAAGAGGGCATTGGCATTTCCCATCCCTTTTGCAAGGGGTGCTCCGAATCAGCGATTGACATTAATTTTGCATTAGCCAGTGCCTTGGTCCTTTGTTGCTCATACGCCCCGTTGTTGGCCGAATTAAATTATGCGCGCCACCCATAAAAAAAACCAACTCGAGTGGCCATTGTTTCAGTCTGCCAAGCAGTTTCCGGTTTGGCCCAAACCCAAAGCCCAAAGTCCAAAACCCAACATCCAAAACCAAAAACCCAATCCCAGTCTCTGGCTTTGGCTTATTTTATTTTCCAATTAAGTAAATTGCGTGTGCCAGACGAAGACGCCTATTCTTCCTCACAAAAGGGCAGCTACAAAAGAATAAATGTTTTCCTCATGGGTTTCGCTTCTTGGGATCCACCCACATCAATAAATGTTGCGTGTTGAACCTCCCCTCCCTTTCTTTTTCCTCAGTTGCTTCAATAACTAATCGCCAAGTTTGCCTCTCGGCTTTAATTGGTTCAATGTCTAAATATCCTAAGCGCATTACCCAGTCAGCTTCATTACGATTATAGACTTTGATGTGTGAAGGTTGCTAGGAAGTGGCAGTATATATGTATTCAGCATTCACATCCCAGCAGACAGATTTCAATTTGCCAGTCTCCATCGCTTCTAATGCCAGACGCTCATTCAATTTGTATTACGCGCATTGTTATCATTTTTATGGGCTTAATCGATGGGATCCGATAATGAGCTCTTTGTGGCCAAGTCGGGTTAAACGAGGCTTTAAGCAGATGTAGGCAGAAATCAATATTTAAATGGAGTAGAAGTAAGTCTTAAGTGCTTTGGAAAATATATAAAAAAGAGATACATGTTGAGATTTATTTAATATACACTTTCTCATTTTGCATTGAAAAAACAACTGCCACATAATTTAGTTATTGAGCAAAAGCCATCACGTATCTGATTTAAATGAAACAAAATAATATTAATTTTATTACCACTCATTTCCTCATTTGTTTTCACAGAAGTGTTTGTCGTTGGATCACCCACTATTGTTTTAACTCAATCATAAGCTGAATAAATATAAATATATTCAAATTGACTGCAATTTTATCACTTCGCTAGTAGAATGGCCACTCGGCAACAGTAGAATGGCCTGTGACTTAAAGAGTTGCTAATTAGATTAAGTGAAGTGTCAAATTTAGTACGTTTTCACTTTGTGTGCGCTTAACCTACTCCCAAGTGCACTTCAACGGAAGCACCCAGGCATCAGCTTCAGCAGCAACAACTGCAACAATATGAATACTAAGACCAACTACAGCATACAAATGTTTTCAATTACAGGCAGGCAGCACGGCGAAACGAAGGGGAAGAAACTGGCACAACAACTTTAAAAGTACAAACGGCCGAGTGGAGGAAGAGTCTTTGGAGTGCATAGACCAGGAACAATGGTAAATGCCACGTCAGCAACATCAGCAACATCAGCAACAGCAACAGCAGCAACAACAGCAACAGCAACAGCAGCAACAACAGCAGCAACATCACCAGCAACAGCAGCAACATCGTCAGCAAAAGCAGCAAAAACGAGTCAACGACAGCTTAAAACATAATACGCTTGCTGAAGGCAACAAGCGGATAGGAAGACAGTCGACAGACAACCAGGGGACAAAGATATAGGGGGGATATAGGTTGGGATATAGGGAGAACAGAGCGACATTGCGAATGATGAGAAATCGCTGTTGCAATTAGTGAGCCAAGGGGTTGGACGAGCCATGAATCACGGAATCTGCTGCCAGCGGAAACGGAAATGCTTGCTGGAAACGGAAACGAAAGCGGAAGCCGAGGAGGAGCAGGTGGCCACTAAATGCCATTGAACACTGAGCGATCATGTCCGACGTTGAGCAGGCGATTAGGGCCAAGCAGCCGCCCCAGCTGGACTGTGGCATCGACGATGAGACGGATCCCGGCGAGTCTGGAGCAGGAACAGGAGGCGGAGCAACTGGATGCGGATCGGAGGTGGGGGCCAGGACCACCGCCTCGCTGACAGCCAAGCCGGGCAGCGGCATCCGGCGCTGCTGCGGCCACATCCTCAAGCTGCTGCTCTCCACGCCGGGGCTGGTGCTCCTGGTCATCGGCTACTCCGTGCTGGGCGCCCTCATCTTCCCGCTGCTGGAGGCGCCCCAGGACCTCAGCAAATCGGCGGCCATTGTCAAGAGCCGAGAGGATTGTCTGCGCGAACTCTGGATCATTACAGGTGGGCATCAATTTAATTAATAATCATATTTTTATTTAAAAGAATAGCATATTTAAATGAAATGTCCACCAAAATTTTTAACAAATGGTAAATGAATCTTAGAGGAAATAAGTACAACTTCTTTAAAATTTTGGTGTTTAATATTAATATGTCGTACATATCATGTTATCATGGTATGTCGTTTTCTTTTGCCTGCAGATTTATTTATTTACTCAACAAATTTACCAGTCCACAGTTTTAAATATCACAAAATATTTAATCAGGAAGCATTTGTCTTAGATAAATATAAAACATAAACAAATTGTTAAGGTACCAGTCTGAGTTTCCTGATGATTAATTGTTACATAAAATAAATTCTTGAACAAAATTCCTCTAAAAATATAGGAAAACAAAGCTCTCTTTTGATCTAATATTTTGAGCTTTTTGTTTTTGCGTGAACATGCAGCAAACATTTTAACGCTTCGCTGGCGACGCACAAAAAAAAATCTGTATAAATTATTGGCCGCCACATTTTTGCCGCATTGCCCGTAAATTTTCGGCGTGTTTTGCACGCTTGATTTGCCTGCAAATTGCCAAAGTAATTCGAACATTAAAGCGACAATGTTTTGTTATCGTCCAATAATGCTAAGTAAATAGTAGCGGCGGTGCACAGCCAGCACAAATATTTTAATTATAAGTACCAGCAAACAAGGCACCCCCTCCCAAAAATGGCTCATCCCACTCAATTTCAAACAAAAGACCGGCTAAATTTCATTTTCACATCTACTGAATTGAATAATAGCTAAATATTTGCATAGTCAAATATTTGGTTAGGCTGGGCCATTTAGAAATTTTCACAAATGTGCGATATTCCATCGATTCGGCGGAATGGCGTTTATCGCAACTATTTTGAGGTCTATTTGTTGGCCTGATTTATGTGAAATTAATTACTTTGTCGCACCTGCCAGTGGCACTCGATTCGAGACTGGGGAGAAGATTCCATTGGCGCAGTGGCACGTGCGTGTGTATTAGACCTGATGTTTATTTAATTAAAATTTCACATAATAAATAAACCAATTAACTTGAGCTCATCCGCGTTCCACCTGGCTTATGATTAATTCGATGAGCTTATCAACGAGCGCCTAATGATGTGCTCCATTCGTTTTGCCTTACAGCCTCTCCAAAACACAAGTAATTTATTATTTGCCTTAGCGTGAGTTGAGATTTTTAAGGGTTAATGTTGTCTAAAGAAATATTTTAGAGAAATAATAATAAAGGGATATAAGTTGGAATATCCTTGTCATTAAACCCTTAAGTTGAGCTATCTAATTAAAATCTTTAGCCCAACATAGCTGGCATAAATAAAACTACATTCCCTTCAAACGAAAATTTAAATGAATACGAAATCAACTTAAGAATACCAAATTCAGGATGGTCATTATTTATTGCCAATTAGTTTCTTATAAAACCTAGTTTACATATACTCAAAACCAAGAAGATAACTGTTTAAGCCTGGAGTATTACTGAATCTAACAGAATTATAATCATGTTTAAGAAATTTTAGGTGCTAAAACATAATGGCACTCATGAAATATAAAATTTGTATTCCCCAGCTGTAAAGCAAAAATGCTCTAACTAAAAGTTCAATATTGGTTTCGGATTGTTATTCATTGCCAATTAGTTTCTTATAAACTCAAGTGTCCTGAGCCAAAGAGGAATTTCCAGAGTCAGTCGATTAAGTTTGAAAAGATTGGCACAGAATATCGTTTGATTTTGGCTTTGTTCTTGGCAACTAGCTCCACTCGATTGCGGTGGGTGGCTGATGTCTGGGAGTGGATGATGTCTGGGGAAGTGCACCCTTGAGGCTTCGAGACTGGAGGGCCCTACAGCCACACCTCCAATACCCCAACCAACACCCCCATCCAAGGCCAGAGGGCGTGAAAAGGGCGTGGCCGACAGGCAAGACAGCAAACTAGTCTCAAACTGCTGTTAACAAGCGACCTCTGCAATTTGCAAGAGGCGAACACACGACATCAAATGGAGCAGATTCCTCAAGACAGGCGACCGAAATCGAGTGGGAGGATTGGGATGGGTGAGGGGGTTGGAGGTTGGAGGATAAGGACTGGGACAAGGTGAGCGAAGGATGCGAGTGAGGATAGTCCGATTTGTCGGCACTTGTCGGCCGTGTCGATGGGAGGTCGAAGGCTGTCGCTGCACTTGGCATGAAATTGCATAATTACGGAAAGGACACTTGAACGCATTCTAAAGAGGACCCGATTTAACCTTTCTTTTTTCTTCGATGTTCTTCTCCCACATTTCTTGCAGAGAAACTCAACGTTCTGTATGAACGCAACTGGACGATGTTGGTCCACGAGCAGCTGCGTCGCTTCGAGGGATCCATTGTGGCGGCCACGCGTCAAGGATCCGGTGGTTCCTCCGGCGGATTAGGAGGCGGTGGAGGAGGAGGACTCTTCCAGGGGGGAAGTGCCAGCGCCTTGGGCCACTTTGGCTACGATGCCGGCGACTCGCAGAGCTGGACTTTCAGCGAGGCCCTGCTCTACTCGGTCACTGTGATAACGACAATTGGTGAGTTCCGCTTCTGTTTCCGTTTCCCTTTCCCTTTCCCTTTCCCTTTCCCTTTCCTTACTTTCCCCTTCACTTACACTGCCCCGAAATACCGTTTGGATTTATGTTAAGTGGTTAACTTGGGAGCAGAGCTGCTTATTATGATCTCGGCCAGGCCAAAACACAACTCGTGCTGTGGCCAACAAATATTTACTTTGCGGGGGTCTAAGTAGAGCTCGACAGCCCAACGCCTTCGAGGGCAAACTAAGCCACAGGAGCGGCCATTGAAGTGCCAGGACATCATCAGACATTGCGTATACGACCCGGAGGCCGGGCCAAAATATTTGCATATGCTAAATGATGGGCCATCCTTGTTGTTACAAATTAACTGTATCTCATGGTCTTTAACTTTAACAGCATGCCAGTTAATCCCAGAGAAAGTCCATTGGCAGGGATGTATATAAGCACTGAAATATGTCGCTAAACGGATTTATTGTCTACATGGCTTAGGTCAAACAATAACTAGGTTAGAGTGGCAAATATTAGCCATATAATGAGTGCTTATGAAGTGGAGTAATTGCCTAGTGCATGTAAATTTCCATTAATGGCTGCCATCCTTGAGTGTAATTTAAGTTATGGAACTTACACTTTATTTGCAGAAATGTTAGAAAGTGTTCTTTTAGCAAGCAATTCTCTATAATTTATACAAGGAAATAGTCAACATAAATATATGTTACTGACTAATGTTTAAATTCCATTGTAGGCTAACTTTAAAGAACAGTGTAGCATTTAATTGGTGTCCCATTAAACTTCCCCTAGTTTGTCCTTGTGAAAAGTAATTTGATATGCTGCACCACTCCTCCACAGATTGAGTCCCCAAGGACCCTGCTCCATTCCTCGGCTCCTTCTCACCCATCCGATTAAAAGTACATGCATTTATATTAGCCCGTTCGTGCTTGCCATTCTCATGCTCTAAACCAGATGTATTATCCTTGTCCGATCCTTGCAGGTCACGGCAGCCTGACGCCGCGCACCGCCGCCGGGAAACTGGCCACCATTTTCTACGCCCTGGTGGGCGTGCCCCTGATGCTGATGTGCCTGTCCAGCCTGGGAGCCCTGCTCGCCGATGGCCTCCAGTGCACCTACGTGCGGCTCTGCTGCCAGCTGCAGAGGCACCAGGAGCACCGGAGGAAGTCCACGCCCGGGACCTCAACGCCAACTGCCAGCACAGCGATGACACCGATGCCACTGGCCAAGTCGAGGATGAAGGACAAGGGAAAGGGATCCAAGCGACGAATGGTAAGGCAGCCATGGCGTATGATTGATATCGTTTGAACGAGGCCAGCAGCTTCCGTTTGTAAACAGACCGTATCCCCATCTACATTACATTTTTATGTACTTTAAGGAGATAGTTAAAGGGATGAGTGCTGCTTAGTAAAATTATACCAAACTAAATTATATTTTTCTATTTAATTATTAAAAGAACTAAAGGGCTATTGTTAGCGATTATTTATTTGTACCCTATAAGCTTACATTTTACCATACATTTTTAAGCTATTGTATTTTCATTATTTAAGTTACTTTACAGTTTTAGTTCTTGCAAAAAAATTTTAGTTTTAAGTGTTCTTGTTCCAAATACATATCTGAAGTTAAATTCAGTAATTCAGTCACCCTCTTAAATTTCATTTGGCAATCAAATAGAGTTCCTTTGAAAAAAAAACCGTTGAAGAGTAGAATGATTTCCCAAAGGTTTTTCTCAGTTTCTTAGCTCAAAAAACGAGCACGCAGCCATGGCGTATGATTGATATTGTTTAACTTTGGACAGCAGCTGCACCGAGTTCATCGACTGACTGCAACTCGAGAACATTTTCATGGACCCTAATTCGATAGTTGAAGGGACAACTTATTTACTTTCTGTCGAGCAGCAACTGTTGCTGCTTTGTAGCCAAAAAAGAAAAGATTCCAAAGTGTTTTGCTCTGCATTCCGGTTTAAAGTAAACTTTCGACATTGTTTCGCGTGTCCAAAGTTCTTGGGGAAAAACTTTCGCTGGCTACTCCGCCGTTTTACGCATGAACTTTTCCCACTACTCACTAAGTGTTTCGCTTGTAGTTTTTCCAACCACCCATTTTCCCAGGAAACTTTTCCGGAAAAACCTGAACCTTTGGCTCGGTGATAGATGGAAATGGCAAAGCTCCTAAGCCAAAATGTGATGGGAATCTTCGATTTCGAGGGGTTCGATTGTCCTGCGTTTTGCTTATTGCTCAATGGCATTCAAACGATTTTTTCGAACATTAAACTGCACTGAAGTCTAGAATTACGGCTTTTAATTACGACAGCAGAAGCCTTTTAAGTGGATCTCCACTCGGGTCCGGATTTCTATTAACGCAAACTGAAAGTTTGTAATTGATTTGGGAAAAACAACAACGAACTTTTCTCTTGGCCTTTTTATTTTCCGTTTTTACTTTCTAGGTCTTCCCACTGCAGACGGTTTTGGGTTCGGTTTCACGTTTTTCCCTGGTTTATTGCGTTTTATTTGTATACCTCCGTTGTATACATTATAAGTAATTTTTTAGGATATCAAAACTCTGACTAGGTTGCCGTAGCCCTTCTATTTTATTTATTTTTTTTGTTTTTCGTATTCGTATTTGTTTGTTTGCGTGTTTTGTGCATTCGTGCATAAGTTTTGTAAGTGATTTGCTGGCCTCCCGTAATGACATTTCTGTTTTTGGAACGTGGAGTTCCGGCCTTTCCATGTACGAATCCCCAGGAAAAATGTTTGCTTTTAAAGCTTTAAGGCACAAAAAGTGTTTCGGTCTGTTTGCACTCGCAGCCTTTTTCAATTGCGGCCACTCATATTTGTCCTCCTGTTTGTATTGCTTGCACAAATTTCTGTTTAATTGGCAATTTATGGCTGAGCGGGGAAAAACGAAAGCGAACAACAGGGTTCAATAAATAAATAACTGATTTTGCGGTGGCCGGGGCAAGCAAAAATTTAATTTCATAAATTAACATTTACTTGCGAACTCGACACTTTTAATGAACTCCTAGCTAACTTTGCCCGTCAAACTTCAAGTTCCCCCGCAGCCGCCACAAAAGTTGACTCTTTAAGCGAGTCAAGAGAACCCCCTTTCGACACTTTAAGAGTTGGGCAAACTTTAGTTTGCAGTTTGAGTCGGGTCAAATGGCGGCGGCATAAATTAAATTTTTTCCCGGCCAAGTGGCCCGGTTTTCGTGCCAAGCAGGTAAATTGAAATTGAAATTGAAATGAGTGCGAGCCACTTTAATGCGGCGGTGGAAAAAGTTTTCCTTGCAAAACTCAACAATTACACTGGAGGCATGGAATAACTTCTCATTTCCGGCACTTTTGGCCCTAATTGATTTGATTTGGCCAGGAACACCAAATGCCAGTCGAAGCTGCATGGCCTGGTGCTAAAAACTGAAAACTTTTCCGCATTCTCCAGAGCTCGAGTGGTAATCTACTTGCCGTGTTCCCAGCCACTCGAGCATGGCATTCCTTTCAGGATTGCTAGTTTCGCTAGGCCGGCGACTTGTTGAACAGGATTTTTGCATTTGGCAGAATGGCAGAATGGCGCCGGCTTGTTTGGATCTCCATGTTGCATTCAACAACTCATTAGGGCGCAATCCAATCTTCCAGGACGAAAACGATGCTCAACCGAAAGGGGACTTTTGGGCTTTTGCGACTGGCAATTGAAATTGATAAGACAGCCAGCAGATTGCGGTTGACTCTGGGGATGTGCAGTCATCGGCTGAATTATTATCGCCATCGTGTTGACTGCTGCCATTTTGGCTTTTGGCCTTTTGGCCTTTGCTTTCGTCTTTGCAATTATCATGACGCATGCCGTAACGGGTTTTTGGTTTTGGGTCTGGGTTTTCCGGCCCAAACCGCAAGACTAGCAGGGAGACATTTCACATTTCCCCCCCAATTTCCATCGCTTGTTTGTGCCTGTGTGTCCATTAGATTTGCCTGGCATTGGATGATGATGATGCCGCAGAACCGCAAAGCACACGAGTTGCCAGGCGTTTGGCCGCAAACAGCTTTTGAGGACCAGGAACCACGGCAATGATGACATCAGTTTTGGGCCCCAAGAAGGCCTGCGATTGAGCCTGCAAATTACGTGTTTTATTGCCATTGGCCCTGTCATGTCAAGTAGCCGCAGTGTGGGCAGAGGAGATCTCCAGAATGAAATAGCATTACGCATTTCGCTTAGATGATTATTTGGAATTACCCTTAAGTTACACAGAGCAAAAATATGCCAGTTAAAATATCGATTCTTGCAATGTCCTTTTTACTAGAAGTTAAGGATTTATCAATTATTATATATCATAAACATAGGTATGCAGATCACAAAACACAAGCATGGCATTTATTTATTGAACTCAAACTAGGATTCAAACATATTATTGCATACTTTAACCCACTTTTATATATGTTTAAAAACCTCTTAAGATTTTTATTGCACTGAGGAAAGTCGCTATTATAATTTGTGCAGCAATTGTTAAGCAATTGAACCTTTTAATTACCACAATTTAAATAATTTGGGTTTCCCTCTGCAGGCTAATTGCAAGGGCTGCAAGTACGATGCGGCCAACAGTGAGACGAGCTTAAATGACTGCTTGGATTACGGCCAAAAGGGAAAACTGCCGCCGGACAAAAAGGAAGGAGGTGAGTGTCGTTGCCATTGTTCGCATGCTAATTGTATTGTCAGCACAATTGCAAGTCGTTAATCATCTTGAACACGTCTGTTCGTTCCTTTCTTCCGTGCGGTCAGCAGATGCCTGTCAATTGTTGCGCAACTTGAATCAGCAGCAGCATTTTTACCAGCAGCAACAGCAACAACAGCAGCAGCAATTGCAGTTGCAGCAACAGCAACAGCCGGATGTCATGCTAATGACAACGACATCGGGCAGCGCATTGCTGAAATACGCACCGCAGCAACAGCAACTGCAGCAGCAATTATCGACAGCAACTCTCCCGCGACAACATCATCAGCTGCAGCAGCAACATCACCAGCTGCAACTGCAGCAACACCAGCCACACCAGCAACACCCGCAGCAACTGCAACAGAATTTCGTGGCCGTGCCCAGCAGCATGCTGCGAATGCCGATGACAGTGCCGCCCAATTGTTATGCGCCCGCGACTGCCACGATATACTTTCCGTTCGGCCCCGCCCCCTCCGCCCCCCGGCAGCCCCGCCCACGTCCAATCCCACCCGAATTCGAATGCGAATGCGAATGCGAATCCCATTGGGAATCACAGCCTGAGTCAACAGCCGCTGGTCAAGTATCACACGATACACTTGCAACCCGCATCCGGGAAGCATCGAGTGTTGGCTTCTGGACTTCAGGATGCAGCAGTCGGGAATCTCGTCACAGGATCCGAGGCATCCACACTGGAGGCCATCACGTTGCCACCGCCGCCAGCCTATCAGACGGCCAACGTGCACGGTGAGTAATGAAATTGCCTTGTTTATTGCTGCGTTTGTAGGAAATGAACTCACAGAGAGCTGTCAAATATGGTTTTGATAGAAGACCTTCCACGAATTTGACTTACTTGCTGAACTAGACTACGAGCTTAGCTAAATTTCATAGTTTTCAAAGGTACATCTCGATTTAAACGGACTTTGTATGGTAATTTATTTTTATATTTCCTGGAAAGCTAGAAGTTTCTTGTGTATAAAAGTTTGTAGTTCGATTAAGCACTAAAAGGGAACCAGGAATACTATTTCAAGATTTTTAAAGTCATTTGTAAATGGGAGTTTAATACTGTTTCTAAACTTAAATTCTATATTTGATAGGCTCATCTTATATGGAATTTTAACCATTCGGCAGTAGAGTTTCGAATTGTTTTACAAAGTATGTGTCATAAATATGTTATGTAAAATCGATAACTATGTTCAAATGTATTCAGAAATAATTGGAGTAAATTGCCATATATTTGTGAATTGTTAATGAGTGCTAATGCTGGTGAGGCAGGAAATTTGCATAATTTGCAACAAAGGAAAATGGAATTTAATTGGATGAACAAATTGTGCCAGGCATAATGGCAGGCCAAAACCGAAAATGTTCTGCTGACAGCTTTGGCTTAACCTGAGCCCCCAAAACAAAACCGAACGAACAGTAATCAATCAATCATACGCCATGTTGTCGCAGGACGATCGTTCACCGCCCCTCCCCCCTTCAGCCCCCACCTCGCAGTGCTCATTTACGCTTTCAATTATATAACAATTTCCATCATCATCATCGGCAGCTTGCAGGCTGCGGAAGCAGCAGCGTGTTAAAATGATGACAGAGTTAAGCAGACACACACTTCGCCGGCATTAAAAGTTTTCAACTTGTGCTGCTTGACATGCCAGGACATCGGCAACAACAGTAACAACACCAACACAAGCACAAGGACATCATGCACTTGAGGCAACTTTCGACATGTGCGACAGTTTTATTGACGATAATGATGACTTGGCATAAAGAAGACAGCAGTGCCGGATTCTCAGCTTGTGCAACGCATGCAAAACTCATTAAAGTTAACTGCTCTTTGTCGTCGAAAAGGCGACGGCACGTGACTCGCTTTGTCAAAGGATTCCGCTTAATTTCACAGCACATTCTAGCGTGCGACTCGGCCATTTGTCAGCGTACGAATGACGTCCCCATTGATTCCATTATGCATGTTAATTGTCTGCCACTGGCACCCGGACACGACTCCGAAATGGAGGAGCCGGAGTCCACTCCCCCGAGGTCCTGAATCCGCGGCAAACCGCACCATTAAAGCCCGGCCAAAGTTGCTGCAACCTCCACCGCAGGACCAAAGTGACTTTCCTGCGAGTCCGGATATATAGTGCTATATATACAGATGGGGGGTGTGTGTGTTCCTGCACTCTAATGAATGTCTTTGTGCCTTTGCTGCTCTGTAAACCAGTGTGTGTGCCTGTGTGTGTATGGTGTCCAAGTTTAAGTAAATATTTTCAAATTGGCCATGTCCGGAGCAGACCACTCCACTCCGCACCGCGATTTGCTGGCGTCCTGCTGACAGCTGCAAAGTGAAAGACGTACGCTTCCTTCCGTTTTTTCGGTCGCCAGAGTGCAAAACTATAAAGTCAGGACAGTGGTTGTGCGGAACATTTTCCATATTACTTGTTTCTGGATTTTAAAACCCATTCAGTTGGTATAGATTAATATTCAAGGCAAATATACGAAAACAAAAATAAAGCAATCAAACACAACATTTTTAGTGAATGGGTAAAACTAATCAATTTTATTTTGAGAAAAGTTATAGAATAGTAACATAATCATTTTATTGCACTAAATAAAATTGATTAGTTTTACCCATTCACTAAAAATGGTATGTTTGGTTGCTTTATTTTATTTAGTACTTTTATAGATTTTAAAAGTAAGATAATTCACAGAACCTAAAATCTTCCTATCTGTCTAGAGGTTATCTTCCCAAGTAGCTTTGTCTTTTCCATTTATGTTCTTAAGTAAAAGTAAAATCTAATTAAAGGATAAATATGAATAAAATTTTTCACCCCTCCAAATTCTTAAAGTTAAAGTCCCTAGTGGGTGTAATTTCGTATTTTTGCATAATTTCCCGCAGTAGCGAAGAGTTGAAAGAGCGTTGTGCCCCCGACAATTGCCCACTGTGTGCACCGCCAGATGTTTTAATGCCCTCTGACATCCCGACTTTGCCACTGGCAGCCGCTAATGAAAGCTAACGCCAAACTTTTGGGTTAAAAGTCGGGGGAAATGGCAATGCGAGTCCGGAACGTTCCGCCACATTGTTGCATTGTTGGGGCGAACTTTGAAAATGCAAAGCAAATAATTTTTGCAGTGTGTCCCTACCATTCCCCTCGCCCCTTCGTGTGTCGTTGGCTAAATGCACAACTTTTCCGGCTTTTCCCGCTGCTGCCACTGCCACTTCCGGCGGAACTAACGGGCTAACGGGATAATCTAACCGTGTGTGGCAGTTGCCGGAAGTTGTTTTGCCAATTTGTGCACCAAACTTTTTTTTTGGGCCGTATGTAATTGTATATTTCGGTTAATGTTGTTCTTGAATTAGAAGTTTGGTTTACTTTTAACCCAGTTAATTTCGGTTAATAAAACTATTGTATTTTACGAGGATTCGTTTCATTTTCCAACCATTCCAGCTTTTTAACAGTGTGCGGTTAATATTATTTAATTAATTACTGAAATATTTGTATTTTACCAAGGTTCGTTTTATTTTGCACCCATTGCAGCTGTGCGACGGGCCAAGTTCGTGACGAAACCGTTGCCACACGAGATCAACGCGCTGATGGACTGCAGCACGGGATCGCCAGACTTATCCGGCAGGCATGATTTATTGCCACCACCGCCGCATTCGGGGGCAGTAGCAACAGGCATGGCGGCAGCAGGTCCATTGTTAACCTACACGGCCGCAGCAACAAGCCCACAACTGTCGTCGGGAATTAAAGGAGCCGCAGGCACAGGAGCAACACCCACAGCAGCAGCAACACTGGTTGCTGCCAGGGGAGGGGCAGCAGCAACACTGCCCGATAACAGTTTTATGGCCGCAGGTTTTTGTGGCATGGTCGGTGCAGCACCCCCTCCCCCTCCTCCGCCTACAACATCTGCAGGAGCAGCCACTACAACTGCCTCCTCTGCAGCAGCAACATTGTCGGCTCTGCTAAGCGCCAACTCCTCGGGCACCGTGGACATCATGGAGGACGAGGATGAGCTGGAACGGGAGCGATTGAGGTATGTATTCAGCACACAAAAATAATATTGGTCTCGGTTTAAGAAAAGCGAATGCAAATCAAGATAAATTGTACATACAGGTTGTGTCAACTTTAATTAATATCCTGAGTTGTCCAAACAAAATCTACTTTTATTTCAGTTTTTTGATCAAAACTTTGGGAACGAATGGTCATATGTTGGAATGTCATAACTCGTTGAATTCGTTATAAAATTTCCAAAAGAGTGGCATTCACAGCTCAAAATTTTCATTTTGGTCGATTTTTCGCAAAAATAGATGATCCAAAATTCTGAAATCCGGAGATCCGGAAAAATCAACTTTTTTCTAGGTTTTTTGATTAAAACCCGTGGAAATAATGGTCTTATGTTGGAATGTCATACCTCTTTAAATTCGTTATAAAATTTTCAATCAAGTGACATTCACAGATCAAAAATTATTTTTTGGCCGAGCTTCAGCAAAAAAAGAAATGCGGAAATCGGTCAAAAAATAAATTTGTCCAAATCGGCCTGGAATTGATAGTTTAGGTCCTCAGCTGCACAAAACAGTCATCCTTTTGGCTGTGCGTCGCATTTTGGCGAAGTTATACCATAAACTCAAAGATATTGGTCGAAAAATTTAATAAAAACATTATAGCTATCAAAACCCAAAGTCAATAAAAATCCATTAAATTATATTAAGTTACTGTAGATGGTATTTACCATAAAGTACATTTAATTCAAAACCAAATTAGTCAGAAATCAGGAAATTTAGGTTGTGTTGATATGGGCAGGAAAAAGGCATCAAAACGATTGCATTAAGGAGAATATACAGGTATTTAAGTTGCTTTTGATTAAAGCTTTCGGTTTTATCCCGACTAAAATCGAGATCCAAATGCTGAGTGAAAACTGTTAATTTAATTTCCAAAACAAACTTTCTGCCTGCCAGCAACACTTTAAATCAACACTTCAGAATCTGCATGATGCACACTGCTGCGTTTTACCACCCAACCGCCCAACCACCCACCTATCCACCCACATTTCCCTTGAACAGCCTTGCGGATTCTCATTCCCCCCTGTGGTGGCTGAAATCCCCCTTCGCCCACCACTTCCTGCCAGAGTGAAGAGTGCTCCGCTTCTGATGATGGTTTCCTTCGCCTTTTTGAGCGCACATTTTGAGCATTTTATTTAATAAAAAGCAGTAGCAGCAGCAGCATCTGGTAATTAATTTTGACAGTGAACCTGGGCACGCGTCGCGGGCGCCCTGTGGCAGATATATATATGCGCGAATATATATCTCCCCTTCTCGGTTTCAGTTTCAGCCCTGTCTGTCTGTAATTAATTGTAAGCCGAGCTGGGCACTCACTCGCAATGAATCGGGTCAATTAATCGCAGCCCACTGCTCCTGTTTGCCTTTCCATCCGTCTCGTCTTAGGTAAACATATGTGTATGTGCACACGTGATGTTGACCTTATTGATCGCTGCCGAAATCGGAAATAGGTTTTCTCTCACTTGTTCGGCCAATCGCTGTGCAAGTGCATCTCCAGCAAGTGTTTGTCCAGCCGAGTGCCTGCCTTTCCCCGAGAGTCTGTTGGCCAAGTTCAATAAATGTTCGCCGAATTGGTTTGACAGAGTGAACTCCTGGCAACCGGAGTGCCGACCAAAGAGCTTTCCCCGGGGACTGTTGCAGGTTGTCGAGACGCTCGTTCGTGGCAACTCAAGAGGCATTGGGATTTGGATTGTCAATCAAATCAGTCTCGATTTGGCTCTTCAATTTTCAATTGCAGTGATTTTGGGAATCGGCTTATCAGTTGCTTTGGTAGTAATCCAGACTTTAATCCAGGCTTTAATTTATATAAATTCAATTTTCTTTTCTACTGGAATATTTTGTTTATGTTGAACGCTTCTCTTTAAAAATAATGCATTTTTTTGTTACAGTTATTTCTTTAAAACATTTTAAGCATTTATATTTATATTTGTTGCACTAGATTCTCAAAAAAAATATTTTTCTTAGGTCTGCAAAATGCAAGTATTTGTAATACCTGTTGCCCAAATTGCTTATAATTGAAATAACTTATTTTAAGGCTATACAAATTACAAACCATTTCTTGAAGATAATTTTACAAAAACTATACTTTAACTCCAATGTCTTTACTAAATCAAATAACGATTATATTTTGTCCTTGGTATTAAGAAATAATTTTATGACATCTACACAGGGTACAGGATATTTTTGTAGTGACCCAAAAAGGTAGTTCTCCCAATATCACGCATACGCCTGGTGAGCCCGACCAGTGTAGAACACGTATACCGACAGTTTTATGCCTTATTGATTGAACAGGACGAGATGGGAGGACTGGCAGCTATTTCCTTTTTACGGCCTGAGGTTGCTCTGGGGCTTGCTTTTTATGCCTAATTGATTTATTTTATGGTCAGCTGCGGCATAAATATTTATTGTCCATCCGTGTTTTTCCATTTCGTTTTTCTTTTTATCATTTTGCAGCAACTGCCCGCACGGAACGCCGTCGCGGGTGCCGTTGATAGCGAGTCCTTTGAGCGTGCCGCAGGACTCGGCCGCAGGACAACCAGGCCGCAGCCACGCCCCCCTTCACCGCCACCCGCTGCAACCGCTGGGCCGCAAGACGCTGCTGCTGACGCGTCGATGCCACAGACACGCCTCCGGAACTTTGTACGACAGCACGGCCAACAACACGGAGACCTCCGACGACGAGGAGTACATGCAGCACGGTAGCGAGCAGTTCGTGCTGAAGAAGCTTCGCTACCACTGCGACGCACAGGACTGCCGCGAGGCGCAGGACTCGGAGGACTCCGAGGACGACGAGGAGGCGGAGGGGGGACGGCAGGTGCCCATCAGCCTGGTGCTGCTCATCCTGGCCTGCTACATCTGCGTGGGCACCGTGATCTTTGCCCTCTGGGAGAACTGGTCGCTGGTGGATGGGGCCTACTTCTGCTTCGTGACCCTGTCGACCATTGGCTATGGCGATTTCGTGCCCGCTAGGAGTTTCAATGGACCGGAGCTGCAGCTGTACGCCTGCTGCGCCTACTTGCTGCTCGGCCTCGTCCTGGTGGCCATGTCCTTCAGCATCCTGGAGACGCAGCTCATGTGGAAGTGCAAGCGCATCGCCGTGCGACTGAAGTTGGCCCGCACGGATGCATAGTCCTCTATCCAAAACAATCGAATCTGCAATCCGAATGCTTGAATCTTAGGCTAAGTGTACTGTGTAATTAACCCAAAACTAGCCCATCTCAGTGTACATTTGTCTGCCTAGCGAAATAATGAGAGCTCGTATGTTGTCGGGAATTCAAGTGAATTTGTGTAAATAAACGGAATTTTTGGAATTTTCAAATTCTCTCAGCTTTTTTCTGGCGTTCAACAGCATTCAGGTAATCGGATACTGGGTCACAAACGTTTCTGGCATGCCAAATACTTGTCAAATATCATGTTTCCCTGATGGCCAAAAGTTTAGCAAATTTTCAGTGAAGCATAAATATTCGGCTCATCATGTCACCGTTTGCATCTGCTGAATTATGTGCAACCTAATCACATTAACATATATTATTGCCCACACTGCCGTAAAAAGCAAGGGATATTTATATTAATTCTGGCTGCGAACCCCGAAATGTTACAGGGCGAGGAGTAATAATCATAATACCTGCGTTTATTCCCGGTGGGTGTCAGCAAAAAAGCATCAAGTTTCATGCAAAACACACAAACTCCTGAAACATTGCCCCAAAAAAAACACACACACGTACTGAAACTTGGAGCGTTCATCATCTTTCCAAGGCATTGGGCGCATACAAAGTGTGCTTGGAGTGGCGCATAAATTTCAAAGTGCCACGCGTCATCAAAATCAAATGCCAGCCGCAGTCAACTTGGCCAAGGACCTCCAACCCCCCCCCCCCTCCTTATATACAGTGTAGTAGATCCCTTCGAGGTTACGAGACTTGTCAGCGGCAATGGAACGAATGCCAGGCCAAGCGGCAAAAAGATGTGCCCCAAAATCAATTGATATGACATCAAATCGAATTTATAATTCTTTCTCTTTTCGGCCCCTAAAAGCAGCGTTTATCCGATGACTTGTTTATGTTTGTGTCTCAATTGGCTTTGATGCTTCCGGCTTACAAATTCACGCACGCTTTCACCGGAGAAAAAAAGTTAAAACCCGGAGGGTCCTTCATTTCTAAGGATGCTTCATTGGCTCTAAGTAAATGGTATTTTTTGGGGGAAGCATTTGGAAATGAGATTCCCATAAGTTAAGCCGAACTGACAATCACCTCATATTTAATTTGCCTAAATAATTTATTCCTTGTTAATAGTTAGGTACAAGAATATCGCTACTTGGAAGGCATCAAGTGGAGACTTATCACCCGTGTCCATGCCACAATCACATTTAGTTTCGATGCTTTGGTCGCTGGGGACTCGTGCTGGCGATGGAGCTGATATCGGACACATTATCCCTGGCCACCTGTCCGCGCTTCTCGTCCAGATCGACCACGTGGATGTCGAAGCTGGAATTGCCGGATGGCACACCATCTGAGGTACGATTGCTACTCTCAACGGAGAAGGGTGTGCGGGTGGTTGATGTGCCCTTAAAGGTGGATGGAGGAGCAACAACTGGGGCTAAAGGTGCTGATTTCTTGGGAGGAGCACTAGCAGTAGTTGAGTTTGCTATTAGTTTGCTGGGGCACAACTGCAGCTCCCGGTTCCTCAGTGCACTACGGCCAGGAGTGGGACCCGGAGTGGGAGCTGGTGAGGATTTCCTGCCGATCTTTAGCTCGGGAGCCGTGAGGGATCTCACATTATTGGCTGCCATTGCCCGAGCGGGCACGGACTTAATTGGCGGTCGCCAGATGGGTTTCACCTTAGGTCTTTCACTGTCGCTAATCTCCGCACTGATTTGGTTGAGCAGCTCCAGCAAAGTGCTCGTCTTCTCGTCCTCGAACTCGATTCGAATGGGCGACTCCCGACCGGAGGAACAGCCCGGATTGAGCATTATAAGCCTGGGATAGGGGAAGATTTAAAGAGATTTTAGCCATGATTTGGAGTCCATACCTCTTGGCCTCCTCGATGGCCCTGCCCAGATTCTGGAGGTTCTTGCGCTCGTTCTTGGTGCTGCGACCTATTTGGGAGTCCTGGGCAGCACGGAGCACCATGTTCCACTTGTGGGCGGTGGACTGCAGCAGGACGGTGCGGGCCACCCGCTGGAACCGCTCCCTGGCGGACTCCTTCTCCGGCTTCGAGGGTATGGACTCCACCTTGATCTCACGCATTTCTCCCGGGCCGTTGACATTCTCGCAGCTGCTTTGCATCGGCGCCACTTGGAAGCCCTTCATCAGCCGCCGTTCCCAGACTTTTATTCGCCGAGGACGTCGCTCTAAAAAATTGGGTATTGTGAAAGCCATAAATGATTGGGAATAAACCTGCTCTTACGCCTCTCCTTTTTGTTGGCCGAGGAGACATCCATGCCGCTGTTCTCGAAGATCTCCAGCATTTCGTAACGCATCGTGTTGATGTCACTCTTCACCTCGTTAATATCGTCCTCCGATACAGGATTATCCTCGAACTTGCGATGCATGGCGGCCACATATCGCCATACCAGGGAGCGCATTATGTTGTCATACTTGCTGAATTGCTCCTGTTCCTGTCGTTTCTGCTGAAATCGAAAGCAGTTAGGTTTAGTCCCTCCATTGGTAATTTTTATTGTATGATAAGTGATTTTTACAATTGAAAATAACACCCTTAACAAACCTAAAGAAAACCTAAAGAAATATATAGTTTTAGTATGCTATATTTTCATAACACTTTTGTTGGTCTATTCCCAACATGTTCCAGTTTTTAGACCACAATAAAAAAACTTTAAAATTGTCAGTTATTAAGTTATTAAACTAACGTTAAATAAAAAAAAAAATTTACAATTCTTCTTTTAACTAAAATAATTCCGATCTTGGCTTTACTTATTTTGTTGATTTTCAAAAGGAAAGAAAATCGAAGAGTATACATTAAGTTTCAAGTTAGCAGTAACTTTATCATTATTTTTGGTACAACAATTCTTGAATTTATTTTTTTCAGTAAATATTATATAGTCGAAGTGTTTTTATTTCCTATTTTTTTCGGGCTATCATACGGGATAGGATCTCCTCAGACTCACCTTAGAGCGCTGGCGATCGATGGTCTTGCTGGACTTGCGGAACACCCTGATGAGCCACTTGACGGAGGGCAGGACGTTGAAGGGCGGCGGCAGGGTGGCGCTGTCCTCGAAGTAACTCATCCACAGCTTGGTGCGGGCGAACTTCCACTCGGTGTCCGAGTGCTCCTGCAAAAACAATCCTCTTACCTTAGCCTAACCCCAAACAGACAGGGAAATGCAAACTTACATCAATCATGGCATACGAATTGGACATCATGGCGATGAGCAGATTAAGCAGCACAATCACGTTGATGACGCTGTACGAGCCGAACATGAGCAGTCCCCAGAATCGCGTATACGACTTGATGCCACTCAGCTCGAAGTCATCCAGCCCGACCATCCCGAAGCTGGCCCAAAACAGCGACTGCGAGGACTCGAACAGGCTGCGCGGGACAAGGACATTGAATTAGCGCAATGAGTGGGCAGCTGGCCGCAGGATAATTGGCCTGCTGACTGGACTTACTTGCCAAAGCGGCGCCACTTCATGCAGGACTCCCCGTGCGAACCCCAATCCGCCTCCCCACCGGGAAGGACATAACATTTGCTCTTCTCCAAAGCGGCAAAGTACCAGAGCAGCTGGTTGAGTCCGCAGGCGAAGGCGAACAGCACCAGGGTGTAGATGAAGAAGAACTTCACTATGTCGATGACCATACGGCCCAGGGAGATCTGCAGCGGACCCAGATGCGGATTAATGCTGAACAGATGGACCAGCTTCAACGCGGAGAAGACATTGGCCGCCGCGAAGAGTCCTTCGGCAATTAGTTGGGGATCAAAGTCGTGCCACTTTTCGCGGGGTATATAGGCCATTTGCGGATCCTTGGCTATTTCCGTGGCCTGTTGGATGTAGGCAAAGGCTCTGGAAAGTAGAAATGGAAGTGACTACCTTGTTGTCACAGAATACCCATCCCAACTCACCTCAAACACATCACACTCACATAGAGACTGTTGCGCAGGAAGTCGATGAAGTTCCACATGTTACGCAAATAGCTCTTCATGCCCACGGCAAATATCTCCTGCACCTCCTCCCACACGAAGCCAATCACGTAGAGCACCACGATGAGCTCCAGCTTGGTGGGCGCCTGGCCACGCTGACGCAGCTCCTGCTCCACCAGCTCCTTTTTCATCCTCGCCGTTCCGAAGATGCGCACAAAGTCATCGTCTGCCCGCTGCGATACCAGAATCAAGATGACTGCAAAGCAAACAACAATGACTCCACAGCTTGGAATGTTATCATAAAAGGTGCTGGATAGGGATGTCTTTTTCGAACGAAAAAGCATCCCCAAGAAAAGTTATTCATTCCCTGCAGTTCTGGAAGTCTTTCATGGCAATTGATGTCAGCATAGTCTGTACCTATTTTACTTTGAGTTTAATTTTATAATGCCTAAAGGTATTATAGGTTCAGGTGTATAAAACTTTATGAAAATTAAATAATTAACTAGTCAATAATATATTAATACTTAAAGCTTACTATTGTTTTATTTTGTTCGGCTTCTATGTTGTTTTATTAGATACAGTTCATATACATTTATGAACAAGCGACAAAAATGTATTTTAAGTACTTTAAGGAATCCATTTTAAATATCTAAAGTATTTGGCTGCCTTTGCATATTTGTTTTATTTTAAAAATCATAAAAACATAATGGTAAATTGTAATCCCCCCGAGGGTACCTATCTATCGCATCTGACCGAGCACCTCGACCCCCTTAAATCGAGCCCGTGTAGTTTGCTCTGGGCACCACAGTCGACATACTCACACAGGAAGAACAAATAGGAGGAGGCATGGATCAGGAATTTCATAAAGGGCTTTCGCATCAATTGGCCCGTCCGGCAATTCGGGGCGCACATGTAGATGAGGCAGTAGACTGGGAAGAGGACGGCCACCTGGCCGATGCAGATGACTTTGTCAACAATGCTCTTGCGCCGGAATCCGGGGAGCCCGTCATACCAAATCGAGGACAGTAATTGTTGGATGTTCGAGTGCGCAACGAACTGCCAGCGGGGGAAAATGGGTTATTTTAGCAGGCAGGAAACGGGGCAAAGGCACATTCTGGAAATACCTTCTTCTGCTTGTAGGAAATGGCCTGCACCAGGCGGGTCAAACTCATCCGGTCACCCGGCTCATAGCTCGACATCTGCGGATCATAGTTCAGGATGATGGCCAGCTCGTTGGAGGTCCGCGTCTGATCCAGCAGGTCCACGGCAAACTTCTGGCACTGCCTCCGCAGGTCCATGTACTCCGCCTTGCACTCCTGCTCGGTGAGGGCCAGGTTCCTCAGTTCCCAGGACAACTGGAAGGCGGTGAGGATGGGGTCGTTGGAGGTGAGGCAGATCAGCGAGGGACTGCACAGCGCCCGGTAGATGTTCACTCTGGACAGGGAGTGCCTCAGAGAGTCCTCCGCGGTCAGGCGGACACACTCCTCACAACCGCAACTGCCGGGGATTATATTTACTTGGGTTAAATATCGGTGGGTATATTACATATCTTTTTAGCGTACCGTATATCATGTGGCACGGGCACTGCTGCTCCGCGATCCAACAGAATTCGCAGTATCTCAAAGTTATTCTTGTGGGCGGCCAGCATTAAAGGTGTGACATCCGGCGCAAACATCGCTGTATTGATGTCCACCTTTTGCCAACTCTAGGGGAAGAAAGGTAAAGGTAAATTCCCTTATGAAAAATGCCGAAATCAGGAAAAAACAATTTTTATTTCGGTTTTTTAATCAAAACTCTGGGAAATAATGGCCCATTGTTGGAATGTCATACCTCGTTGAATTCATTATAAAATTTCCTATCGAGTGGCATTTACAGCTCAAAAATTTAATTTTGGTCGATTTTTCGCAAAAATGATAATGTAACCCCTTATAAAAAATGCGGAAATCCGAAAATCCGGAAAAATCCACTTTTTTCTCGGTTTTTTAATCAAAACTCTGGGAAATAATGGTCCAATGTTGGAATGTTATACCTCGTTTAATTCATTATAAAATTTCCTATCGAGTGGCATTTACAGCTCAAAAATTTTATATTGGTCTATTTTTCGTCAACAATGCTGAAATCCGGAGATCCGGAAAAATTAACTTTTTTCTCAGTTTTTCGATGAAAACCCTCGGAAATAATGGTCACATGTTGGAATGGCATACCCTGTTGAATTCGTTATAAAATTTCCAATCGAATGGCATCCACAGCTCAAAATTTTTAATTTGTTCGGTTTTTCGCCAAAAATGACAATGTAACCCCTTATAAAAAATGCGGAAATCGGTCAAAAAATAAATTTTTCCAAATCGACCTGGAATTAATAGTATAGGTCCTTAGCTGCACAAAACAGTCTTTCTTTTGGCTGTGCTCCTTATTTTGGCGAAGTTATAACAAAAAAGCCTCTCAAAATTAATATTTTTTGACCAAAATTATAAAATAACAGTTTCAGTGTTTTTATCAAATTAATGGAAAAATGTTGGAATTCCATACCTCCTTATTAAGCTCCCAATCAATTAACTGCAAGGTTTATAAAATTTCGAATTGCTAAAGTAAGCTTCCGTTATTGTTGTTATGTACTTTTTACTTTAAGTTAAGAATTGTGAGTGGATTAAAAGAATTTACTTCACATAGTGCGTAATATAATATATCAATACATTTTTACTTATTCCGATATTATTCTTCATACTTTTCGCATTTGCTATCTTGACAGAGCTACTGTTTATCAATCTCGGCGGCCGACGGCCCCAAAAAGGACCCGAAACATTTCTAGGACTGTTCGAAGTCCCACTCCAAGTGCGTTGTCTTCATCGCTTGTGGATGTTATTAAGCCTGTTAAACGTTTTATTGCATATGCGCTACAATAGTAATTTTCACGCTCCAACAGCGCTCAATGGCTGCCTAATGAAGCGTGCCTGTGTGCATAAATATGAGCCCGACAGAGGCCCAGACGACTTTATTTGCAATAAGCGTAAACCTTATACAGGGGAGGTACTCCCATACTGGATGTCCTGGGGGTGGAGGGGTCCTTGGTCGTTGGCCGCTTATCGCACACTCCCAATCACTCGAGAGTTGAGATGCTGCGAGTACGTGCCCAATGGCGAAGATGATCCCGATGGGTGGCACCCCCCCCCCCCCCCACTCCAAACACCCAGAGCCCCTCACACGGAAACTGATTAAAATCGTGTTAGCTTCAACTTACCCGGCCTAAACCGCCCACGGACGATAATGTGGGCCACAAATTAGCTGAGCACAGCAGACAAAACAAAGGACACACAGTGAGAAAAAATAACTGGGCTTCTACTTGCCAAAAACAATGACTAGGGTATTTAACAGAAAAATAAATCATGTCATTTTGAATGATAACAATGAATATGACTTCTAAGCTAATAAATTAATAAAGTTTATATTATTTGGTATACATTTTGGCTTTACTTTGAAATTTTATTATTAGAACTTTTAGCAAGGTAAATCTTTTCTGTAAATACATTTCCATTTTCATTTCAGTCCTGTTCTTAATATCTAGTCGTAACTAAAATAAACTAAATCAAAGGCTTCCTGTATAAAACAACAAAGTGGTCCAAATCTTTAATTAATTTTGTAATTATTAACGGAAAACAAAAAAGAGAAAAAATAACACAAACAATATAGCACTAACACAATTTCCAATTTCAATATATGTTAATAAATGATCAGAGAAGTTGGAATGGATAGTAAGTTTTGAAGGGTAAAATCCTGGACGCATTTTCCTACCTCCTCCCGAATTTCAATTGACACTCATGCCAAATATTTTCTCCCAGTGCCTTCGTTTGACTTACGTATTGCTCGCCCTCCTTGTAGATGAGCTCCTCGTGCTCGAGCAGGAGCTCCACAGCCTCGACGAACTCCGCATTGATGGCATGGAGCAGGGCGTCCTTGGTCTCCACCCCCATGATGACGAGCAGCTCGACCATCTCCAGGTTCTCGTTGTCTATCGCCAGGGTGAGGGCCCGACGGCCCAAGGGGTCCATGCAGTTGATGTTGATGTGCTGATGGCGCAGCGCCTTCTGCAGGATCCTGCAATTATTGGAATTTACTTAATAAAGGGGGTGGCATTGCTGCTAATTGGAGCGAGCTCCGCAATAACTTTTCCTTTTTGTTATTTTTGGGGTGGAGTTTCCCCCGTTCCCAATTTCCTCTGTCAAGTCAAAAGTTGAACCCAAAGTTTCTAATTACATCGCGGCCGCGGCCAACAAAAAACTTTGCCAATCAATCGGGTGCCAAAAAAAGGAACTCATATCGATTCTGTTTGTCCAGCTGGCAGAAAAGCCAGAAATGAAAAGAAAAAACTCCAACTTAGGTTATGTATATACTTATTTTTCCAACACTGCTAGGCGATTAATCGGAATCTAGTTACCCTGGAAGTGGACTGTCATAATTTGTTGTCATCTGCCAGCCAATATAGGAGAAAATCTTTCATTTTACGATCGTTCGTCAACATAAATTGTTGTACAAAATTCAAAGAAGATACGGAATCGGCTTTTCAAGACGCGATTACAGTGATTACACACCACTCCCAACATTAGGCGATTAAATTATTCGTAAGTTCCCAACGCCTCTCCAAATGGAAGCCGCCGAGGGTCAAAGTTTGGTCATCAAAATGGCCCAGAAGAACAAGGGTGAGCATTTTGTTTTGGGGAGGAGTGCAATGGAGATACACTACAATTCTAAACAAATCCAATAGAGACCCAAACGGTGAAGCTGATGGCCGGTGGCGGACTGGCCAACAACTGGTTTGCCCCGGCGGCGGCCTATGGGGCACCTCAAGGAGGCGGTCCATTTGGGGCCAATTCGATGGTCCATTCGCCGACCATTCCGCACCACGCCGTGTCGTGCCAGTTCTACATGGATCGCGAGGAGCAGCTGTATCGCCGCGCCTGCCAGATGAAGGGCATCCGGGTGGAGCGGATGAACGAGATCCGCGAGGAGGAGGACGACTCGAACGGATCGGAGGAGGAGCCCTCGAAGGGCATCCGATATCGCTACACCCTGGACGAGATGAAAAGCTACAATCCGTACCGTTTTATCAACTTTTAGGTGTTCCCCGATCGCCAGAACCATCGCCATCGCCGCCACATTCCCATTCCCACCCACATCGCATCGCCAGTCCTCGTACTTCCAGGTAGAATCACTTAGCTCCAGCTTTAGGATTAGCACCAGTATCCGTATCAGTACCAGTATCAGTACCAGTAACAGCCTCACCACATTCCACACAAGATGCGAGTCTGTGGCGACACCATGCATGCCTCCAAACCGAAAAGGGAACCACAACAGGAACAAGGACACCGCACACCACACATTTACTTGTTGTTACCATTTCGCCAAACAGATGAAAACAATAAAGAATTGTTCATAAACGACATACAGGCATGTCAAGCAAAACTTAATCTTTGATTTTTGGGGGGTTTTAATGTAGAGGGATTTTTTATACAATTATGATATAGATTTTTATTACACTATTTTTAAACAGGTTGAATTAAAAAATTAACTAGCTAGGTTTTAAACAAGTTTATTTGACTGCGTTTGAATAAAAATACTTTGCATAATTTAAATCCATATTAAAAATGTAAAATAAAGCGTTTTAAAAATGAACTTTATCGAGACACCTCAAGACTGTGCCTTTTCTCATATTCATTGCCAGCAAACGAAATTAGTTGTACATTTTTAAAGTAAAGCCGTAAACGAGCGTAAAGTATCTGGGGTGTGAGTCGTCGTATTGCTTATTAAGTGGCATGTAGGATACGAGTTAGGTAACCATTTGAGGCCCGCAGGCGTTGGTGGGCTGTGCAAATAATTGAAACCACCACCAGCTCCACATACAAACATCCGAAGGTGGTTCCCAAAGGGATTTGCGCTACCTGAGCGGCCCAACCCAGTCATCACCTGTGCTTCCCCTGGCGATGCCACCAATGGAACCACCATGATACCCCGTGAAAACCGTGGAGTTGTGGATTAGAAGAAGGAATATATATAGTCACAGAAATTGAATAAGAGTAATTTAAATATTTTGGAAAAATAAGTTCTTAAGTTATAGGTATTGATTAACACAATACAAAAGGTAAAAACTAGTTTTTAAATTTAAGATTTTGTCTTATTAAACCAGAAGTTAAGTACAGTAAATTCCTACAACTATATTTAAATGTTTGAGAAGCCTTCTTTATAAATATTCTGCGATTTATAATTAGCAAGTTGTTATTTTAAGCTATAAATAAAAACTTGTTCATTATAAATTGCAGAAAAAATATATAGAATGAAAGCTTTCTGAAAGAAGCACGTAAAACATATTAGAAAAGTTCTTCTAAAATAAACTTATATCTCATTCTATAAATTTGTATCAAATATAAAATGCTTATCTTTAAATTATCAATATTTAATATGAAGCCATATTTATTTAATATCATAACAAGATAAACCTTCTATTTGAATTTTAGTAGGCAATATTAGTTCGTAAAAATAAAATTTTTTTAACCAATAAGCAAATTGTGAAACTACAAGTTTCCAGTTGTCAATTGATCAGGGAAACTAATTCAGTATTTCTTTCTGCAAGTGTATCCTTATCTTTCGGGATCTGATATCCCCTGCATTTGTTTAATCGGCATTGGGGACGTAAAAAGCGGTACTCACCTGCGCACATTCGGCATATCGCCGCGCTCGACTGCCAGCAGGAACTTCTTCTCCTCGAGGAGCAAAGGTTCCGGTAATCCCAGCGGCACACAGCACCCGCCCACCGATTTGGGGGCGGAGGAGTCGTTGCCGCCAGACGATACCTGGCATATTTTAAACAGACAGGTGAGTACGGGTAACACACACACACACACACATGTACCTACACGAGTGTGTGGCGGGGAAATCGTGTTTGCGGAATTGCAAATAAATAAAAAATAAACATACAAGAAAATTAAGTGCAAAGTGGAGGATGCTGGGCTGATTGTCTGGCTTCCATCTAAATGGCAGGGCAGCGTTTAAGGTAAGCATCGTTTAAGCTAATGCTGGGACAGCTACTTTGAGAGGTGCCACATTCTTTTTTTGGTTCTTGATCGACTCTGGTTTTCTACTTACGCCCGTTGGCAGCTTCTTTTTGCGACCCATTCCGGGGTTTATACACTTCACTTAACAGAAAGCCGAGAGTAATTAATATTCCATGTACTGTACTTCGCACTGTGTCCAGGGTTCAGAGTTCACAACTCAGAGCTCAGAATTCAGAACTCCGGCGCCATGTCGCAGGGCTTAGCACACAGGCATTGAAAACTGCACGATATTTACATATAGTAGGTATAGTACATATATATTTATATACACAATGGCTAAGCCAAAAAAGTCCAATACTAAGCCGGGCCAAATGCAACTTTCAAGTTGATTTTGCTTTTATAGTTATGTCCCACTGAGTCTGTGTGTGTGTCTGTGTGTGTTTGCTGGTTTTTGACTTGGTTTATGGTTTCTGGTTTCCGGCCAGCAAAAAGTTTATATTTAAGCTGTTTATAATGTTTATTTTTTTGCGTTGGCCAAGCTCTGACTAAGCCCTTTTTAAGAGCCAACTGCCTGGGAAAGATTTAAGTATTTGCAAATTTCGTGAGTTGATTAGGGATTGTGTTCACATTTTCCTGACTTTTCACACGAAACTCAAAGGCAACACTAATGGCATTTTCGCCAGCACTTATTTCACTACTTATTGTTCAATCACATTTTCTGTTTTGATTTACATTTTCTAAATGGGAAAAACATTTCCAAATGCATTTATTAGCCACTGCCAGCTGCAATTTTTATTAATATTTGGGGTTCTCGTTTGATTGTTTACCTCACCGCCAATCGGTTTCCCATTAGAAATAATTTTCAGCAATTCTTTGCCACACAATATTTCCCTCGACCCCGACTACAAATATTTGTATTTTTTTCGCTGCTCCTCTCCGCATGTGTGAACAATGCCCAAATGAATATTTAAGAATATTTTTTTCGGTAATCCGCAAAGAAAAAATGCATCCCGTCTACATGCTTTTGCTTTAAACTGGCTTTATGCTCCTGCGGATGCGGATGTTGCAGATGCATTTAAAAGTGTTTGGGCTGGTCATAAAAAATGCAAGTGCTTTGCATATGCGGCAAGAAAAAATGGTAACCCATCATGGGAGTTGTTCCATAAAAAAATACTTCCGCTCCGGACAAAAGGTTGTCCTGGCTGCCACAGTAGCCGGCCGATGGTGCATTGTTTAATTAACTTAATAGAAATATAAGTGCGGAGGACAGGTGAATGTACAGACGGACATAAAAATGTCACAATAAATTCGGTTTTATCTCCCACTTCATGGGAAGCGTTTATTAATGGATTTATAGCTGTTCGCCAGAAGCAAATGCACTGGAGAAAATGGATTTTTTGGAGTAAAGAAATTGAAATATATTTGTCACCAAATAAAACCACATCCGCATAATAGACTAATACCTAATTTATCTAATTAAAATTCCAAACAGTTAATTTGACTTTAATGTAAATTGTAATATAAGTTCACAGTATTTCTTTCCGTGTACACCCCTCATTTTAGGCAATCGAAGTATCATAATACTGTCACAAGAGAACCGGAGTTCATTAAAACTGAAGCGAATTCCAAATAGTTTATACAGAACATAAAAACCAAGAGCTTATCACGATGGCAGTCAAGTTTAAACGAGAACTCCTTTAGTCACAGACCTGGCCACAAAACCCGGCACACACAGTCACACACAGTCGCAAACTTCACAATCATGGGAGCTGGAGCACAATGAATGAAGGATATAACTACATAATTCAGCTGGCTCACGGACTGCACTTAAGCCACTTATAACCGTACGGATACGTACTTCTTGCATTCCGGCACATAAAAACGTGTGCAATTGTTCAACTCGGTGGCACAATGGACGTTGAAATTTCATGTGACCGGCTTAGGTGAGGGACTAAGAATATGAATTGTATGTGTATATATTTTATAACAATACGTTGAGGCACCGAACGGACAGAGGAGTCACTTGATTCTCTACAATATGTTGTATTTTATTTTTTTCTTTTATATTTTATATATAATTTTTTTGGTTTTGGTTTTTAGTTTTTTTTTTCATTTAAGGTAAACCCCGCCGAGTTACAGCGCGCGACGCACCGCGAACGTGTGGCACCTGCGAAATTTACACGCTGCGACTAACGCGCAGAAATTTATACCTTTCCCGAGGGCCGAGCCGCGTTGTGGCTAATTTAATTAGACTAAAACGTCAAATATTTGTCAGCCAGCGCATAGATATAGATACACCTGGAGGTTGTCCCTACAAGTGGCGCTGGATATATGTATATATATATATGTGTATGATATGTATGAATGGCGAGGGGTCGAAGGCTGTCCCTTGGCGAATAGATACAGTATCAACAAGTTTTCGCCAGGTTCCCTAAGGGGATTAGGACCCAAACATGCAGAAGAAGACAAGGTTGGGGACACGATTCAGACGGCGACTGTCGGCAATTGAATTACAACTAATTTGCCGTGATTTGATTTGTGCTGTGCCAGCTACAACTATTGTTTTGCCACTCACTCTTCGCTCGGGCTCTTTTCTTGCCACAAATTGCTGCACATTTGCGGATATTTTCATGCTGCCCAATGCAGTGTGCTTAATTTGATTTGGTAAATTCCAGTTCAGCCAGCAATACGATTGACATTGATTACCTGTCGTTTTCAATATATTTTAATAACTCTGAGTCAGTCCAGGTAATACTTTATTTCTGCAGTGCGGAAAAACATAAAGTTTTAAATCATTTTCTTATTTTATTAATTTACAATCTCTTTTAGTTCTAGTTCAAATTTTGTGGCTTAACCTACGATACTCGAGTCTATATAACTTAATGTTTTGTTTTATTATTTGTTTATCCAGATTTTGTATTTTTATTTGAATTACTACCCTTTGTAAAAATATAACTTTTAAGTATATATGGCAGCACTTTTCGTTTGTAGATTAATGAGTTTATAGTTTCTTAAAAATAAGAAGGAATCTTTTTATTAATAAAAAGTTTAAATATTAGTTTAAATCTAAACGTTACCTTAATCATTGGTTTTATAAAAATTTGTTTCTGTGCAGTAAATTCTTTTTATTGCAATTATTTTGTTAGAGCGGCAAGTTCCTTGCATGTAATAAAATAACTTTTATTTAATTTGTTTATGTTTTGGTAACAAATTGCAATCAATGTGTTCTGCATTTCAGAGAGAGCCAGCAGGCCAAACATTTGAAATCCGTTATACCTTTTTTTCGGTAAACCCTTCTAGCTCAAGGTTTTATTATCATTTTCCCAACTTATTTAATTTGTCAACTTGCCATGCAAGACATTTGATTGGACAGCTCTTAAAGGGACGTTCGCTTTGCTGGCTAGTCCTCTTCAACTGAGATACAAGCAAATGCTAGACGGCCCAAGTGGATCCTTCACATGTTCATATGTCCCTGGCAGAGTCAGCCTTTTGACGGGAATAAACAAATTTGCCAGGGCGAATCTAAACTCTAGACACACATGGCATGAGCAGTAACCGACTTGTCAAACAAAAGCGGAATTAAATCAAAAATCTTAAACTGGATTTTGATGAGATACAAGGAAGAGTGGGTGGTGGGCTGGGCAGGTGGTTCTTTGGAGACAGACAACAATTGAAGCAGATTCCAGCATCAGCTGAAAAGTCGGGGATTGGACCGGAGTCGGGCATGACTGCACGTAAACAGGCAAAGCCAAACAAACAAACATCAGAGGATGATTTCGCAGGTGGAGAGGCGCCCACATGCCTGCACGTTAACTCATTTAGTGGCAGGTGGGTTTGGGTTGCCATGACTGCGTCTTTTATCAAGTTGCATGTGGCATGTGGCGAAGAGCTTGCGTTCGGCGGAGAAAATTGAAAGCAACCATTTAAGGTCGCGCCTGGCTCCATTCTCGCGGTTCTTTGGCTGCGTTGGGATATATGTAAGATATCCTAGTTCCTTTTTTGCTCCCTATATCTTCTGCTTCGTGGCTTTCAGTAATACACGCGGAAAAAATTGGAAACTACATATGGTTTAATACGGATCCCATAATCTCGACTGTTTGAATATTGTTCTCTTATATATAAAGGCAACAAAACATATTCATAATCGATACGTAGATAAATTTAAAGCAACTAAACATTTAAGTCAGTTATAGTAATGTTGAATAGGTAACAAAATATATTAACGATTAACGAAACCTTAATATTTTCATAAGCTCTTTTAAAGGAGATAAATACTACATTGTATTAAGACAAATTTATATGCATATTAAGTGTTTTCCCTAACATTGTAAAGTAACTGTTTTTGCATTACTTGTTGTAAAAAAAAATTTTTTTAATTGTATAAGTTTTCTAAAATGTTTTGATTTATTTTATTAGCCAATTAAGGCACAGAGATGTATTAAAACTAATGGGTATTATTTTTTAAAAGAGTCTTTTATAGGATGTTGTGATATTTTCATTCAGTGACCCTTTGTGCGTCTGGCAGTGGCAGTCCCCAAAGCAAACAGACAGTAAGTAGCATAGTTACACGCACGCTCTCACACATTCCGCATCGGGTTATCCTGCAGGAGGTTATCCTGCAGGAGGTTATCCTGCTGCAGGAGCAGAAGCTGCGGAATAATATGATGCATTTCCATAATACACCCGGCAGTTCGCCAAACGCTGTGCTGCTGCGTCGGAGCCCAAGTACGGTGTGTGGCAAATAAAATTGCATTCAATATTTCTTCTCGTTTAGCTCCAGCTTGCTGATGAGATTTTTTTTCCCTTGGCACCGGCCTGCCACGCCCCTTTTCAGACGTCATATTGTTTGTCTTGCATTAAATTTATGGCTGGTGCGTTGCTGCACTCGCCCCAAATTGCATGCTGGTTCTATTATTTCAAGCTGCAAGCTCGCATAATAATGCGGCATCGATCGAGGTGCTTAAAATCCTGCCAAAGATTTGAATTATTATTCTTAAAAATCGGATGGGCGAACAGTGTGGCAGAAAATCTGAAAAGAATCGTTTAATTTGGTTGGTTGCAGTTTTATTTACAGTAATGAATTTACCAATTAAAACCTTTCAAAAATCTTCTCTCCTTTCGCATGATTTTCAGCTGAATTTGCTTACATTTTATATTCAATGCGTATCGTTTTTCCCGCTGAAAAACTTTTCATGGCCGACTTTTGGGCGCTGCATTCAATTTGCATGTTCCCCATATTTTCGTTTCGTTCTCTGACGATTTCTCTCTACCGAATTTGTGCTCGACTCACTGAAATGACGCCATCAACTGGAAGTGGCAATCTTTAAATATTTATTTTTACATACCAATGCGCTGAGGCATCTGATGAGACTTTAAGTTAAATCGAAGGCAAATAAACATTGCCCATTGTTGGCCAAAACAAATCCCCGAACGCCTTCACAAACAAAATCAAACACCAGTCCTTGTGGTAAAATAAATTCCCTGCAATTCATGACAGTTCACCTGAGTCCGAGGAGCACCAGTTGGAAATGGGAATGCCAATGGGAGTGGAAGTGGTAGTTTTCGGGAGTGAAAAGTGGGCGTGGCGGAGTGTACGTGCCGAGATACAAAACTTGCTGGGGAAGATTAGAAAGTCGAGTGTACGACGCACGTTCCTCTGCTTTTCTGCTCCTCCCTCAAAGGGTTTAAAAGGCAATCAAAATTAATTGTTTTGCGGTTAGCCGCAAAACTTCTCTATCTCCAGATTTACCATTGCCCCCCAGTTTATTTGCCTTTGACAGTTGGAAATGTCAGAAATAAATCTGCATGTTTCTTTTATAATAAACGAGGCACTCAGCTGCCAGACAGCCGGCAGAAGTGCCAATTAAATGTATTTACAGGCAAAAACAAATCAGGCAGATGAAGTCCCGCATCAACGACGCCACCAATCCAATTCAATTCAATCCAAATCGACCGAAATAGGCCGAATGCTGTCTAAAAATACGACTCACCTGTGCATTTGTTTACGCGGTCGGCCAGTTAGACGTAAACAAGTCTCGCCGGAAGTCCACAAACTACAGAGTGTATAGATGTATAACATATTCAAAAGACACCCAGGTACAATCGGTGGAATGCGAAAGAATCCGAGTCATTGCTCCACTTTGTCGCAAGTTCAAGCAGCAAGGTCCGTCTGGCTCACAAGTTCCCCTCTAACATTGATCTCCGGCTGTCAACGAGCCGTGTAAAGGCCAAATGCCGTTTATTTTTAATGGCAAAATATATCCACATTCCCCCAAAAATATATGCTCTGATGGGAAATGTCATATACAGCGGCGCCAGCAAGAAAAGAAAAGAACAGTCAACGAACGACTCGCCGCGACCTTAGAGAGTCAAAACAAAGCACTATATCTGTATATCTGTATATCTATATATCTTTACGGCCACCACATCGCGGATAATTCGGACGCACTACCATCGCTTGGAATTAAATAATTTATTTAGCCATTTGTCTGCGTGCCTTGCATATTTTCCATTAATGACCCAGAAAATATATGTGATCGTGGCAGCTGAAAACGGAAAAACTATATGTTGAAAGCCAAGAAGAAAGACCAGCAAATTGATTTGAAACGATGGCTAATTTTATTTTGATCAGTTAGTGGGTGGAATGCAGAACCCAAGGCTGATGGCGAAAAATCGGAAAAATCGCTGAATGGAATACAAGAAATCAAATTTTATTAACACGTTTTTACGGTTCATTTTGATACAAATTTTTTTTGCATTGGTTAAACAAAAAAAAACATTTACCCAAATAAAATAAAAATTTAATTACAAAAGCATTTGGACAATAAAAACACTTAACTTAACTATTTATGCAATGTATATTTTATATAATATTTTGTCCAATATACTTTTCATACACACTAAATACACAAAGCATTTATTTTTGAACTTGGACTCTTAAAAGTAGACGACAATAAAAATGCTGCATTTCATTATAATCTCTGCTTTATTATTGGTGCATAACTATTGTATTAGCTCACATAATTTTAATAATAATTATTAACAAGCTTGTTTATTGGTAATCGGACACCATGTTAGGTGACTTTCTCTGATAAAACTAAGATACATTCAACGCCACCATATGATATGTTATCCTTTTTCACCTTCAAAATGAATTTGTTTAGGCCAGTGTTGGCATAATGTGCCCAAGAATCGGCGGACATGTCTACATTTCTTAAATAATATTCACCCTTTTCGATTGGGCATTTACCTGTTGGAAAATTTGAGTCCTTTAAGGAAGACGCAAAATACTTGTCGTAAATAATCCTCAAATATGCACAGCTCCTATAACTAACGCCAATATTTGAGGGCTTCCACTCTCCATCTTTGTGTACAAATAATTCGTTTGACAATTCAAAATCATTATTCAAGTCAACGTGGAAAATTATCGTCCCATTCAAAAAATGTTGACGTCCAAGGAGCCGAAAGTTAAATTCGAACAGCGTTTCTGTGTCTCCTTCAAGTTTGGTTATAAATTCCAGGCGAGAATCCAACATAGCCCGTACCACTCCCTAAAGGATAAGTCCTTTGAGACAAATTTTTAAATTTCATTAAACACACCTACCAAAGTGATGATTATGTGAACCAGTGGGCCTTCGATATATTTGAGGAACATTGTTCCGTAGTTGTCTTTAAAGTTTTTAAAACTGTTACTAAATTCGCCGCTTGTCTTATATATCTTCTGGTAACTGAACATTTTGCATGTCCATAGACCATTAAAATATATATTTTATCTTTTCAACACTAAACAGCAATTTGAGTAAGATAAAAACAACGAATAGATAATTGAAATGGCTTAGATTTAGATAGATAAGCCACAGGTTTTTTTGTCTCTTCAATCATTGCAATTTGAAGCTAACCATTTAATGAATGTGAATTTTCGTATTTTTGTTAAAGTGAAAATGATTAGCTTTTGAAAATCCTATCCTATCTTCAGTTTTCAACCCTATTTGCCTGTTTGACCGCACGTAATGCCTAGGGAAAAACCCCCCACGCACCTCCCACATTCGGAAAATGGAAAATGGAAAACGGGGCTAATGGACCAATGCTGCGCTGTTGCAGTTGCCGAAGTCCGATTGTCGGTTGTTGCTGTTTGTTGTTTGCTGGTTTATTATTAGCACGCAAAGAAGTTTAGCGAGGTAAACACATTGACTTCATGTTGCGCCGCGGAAAACTCGACGCAAACCGAGGGGAAAACTGATTTCGAAATGAACGGGAACAAAGAGAGCACGAAAATAGCGCAACAAGGCGTTGCCTAGAGCCAAAAATGTTCCCCCAAAACTAGTCTGAAATTGAAAAATATTTTTCGAACATGCCGAAACAGTTGCGCGTGCAATGAGCGAGAGAAGTGACGAGTGGCGGAATTTGTCCATTTTCCGAAATATCTCCCGAAAAGGGGATTCGCATTGATATGTAAACATTTGCAGGGTGAAAAGTTTTTGGTGAAAAAAAGGCAAAGGAAAAAACCTGTGACAAACATGTACCAAAATATAGTTGCGTCGGGACAACTAAACAATTTGGTGCACCCCAAATAACCAACAGAAGTTGCGGAGGTGTAAAAACATCATTCCCCAATAACGGTGGCATTTTCACCTGGCCTGCAAAGTGCGAAAGCGGAAGAAAAACCAACAGCTAACACAAAAACAAAAGGGAACAACATAAACTGCAGTGACAACGACATGCAAAACAACAACAAATCAACCAAATTGTAGTGAAAAGTTTTTCTTATCGTGCTCGGAACTTTCGTTTCTCTTGCAGCAGATTAAAATGTATTACAAATTAAAAGAAAATTATCCCCAGTTAAATTTATAGCACTTTCTGGGTACATAGTTAAGTTAAAAAAAGCGATTCAAATTTAAGAAGGGGTTTGTTATAAAAGGAAGAAATTTAGATTTGTTTTATATGATATTTAGCATAAACTATTTTGTTTTACTATATTGGCAAATTGGTATTTCTTGACATAAATTAAAAGATAAGCAGGTTTTAAGAATATACCAAGATAAATATAATAGTTGTGTTTAAATGCAAATAGAAGCAACAAACCAAACCACATCTCAAGGAGTTCTAAAGCATTTTTAGGCCGACTCAGGTGTTATTATTATTTTTTTTTTTTTTTTTTTTCGCGCGAAAAAAAAAAGTTTATTTTTAAATATTTTCCATTTCAAAAACCTTACCCCAACCGAAAGTAACTCAACCCCAAAGTAGAGCAGTGTCCAAAACAAAACGTGCCGCCATCCCAATTTTCGATCGGAGCGAAAAAATCAGAAGGAGCGACCGCCAGCTGCGTTTAGCGCATTTAGGGGATTTGCATTATTCAAAGCGCAGCCAAAGGCGGAAGCCCGTGACGTAAAAGCCGGGCGGATTCGGGGCCAAAAAACCATTTTTGGCCAAAAGCCCTTGGTCACTTGGCCGTGTGCAAATCAAAACGCAGCTTAGTTCGGCAGCCAGTATGTTTGCCTTGGACTCTGGCGGAAAACCTTAAAGCCTGGAGTGGTCATAGGTGGTTTGGTGATGGTGGTGGTGATGGTGATTCCTAGGATGAGGATGGGTTTTTGGAGGATCTCCGAGCACACGTTTCCCAGCCACACACCGTTGTCTGGGCACGTTCGCATCAAGTGGCCCGACCTGGCCGGCGTTTTGTTTATTTGCCTTTGCTTTTGCTGCTGGCCAAGGCGGAATGACCAAATCGGCGGGAGTGGAGTGGAATGGAGTGGATATGGTGTATACGTGGGTCCCACTGGAAAGTGGGAAGTTCTATGGCTGCAGTTGCCAACCGCGCGTATACGTAATTTTATGGCCAAGGCTTCGGTTTGTTCGCTTGCGGCTCAGCCGTTGTTATTGTTTATAAGGCAGGCGGGCAACAGACCACTGGCGGCGCTCTTAAAGGGATTTAAGTTACCCCACTCCCACTCCATGCACACACCAATTAGACAGACAGTCAGCCTACAAAACTAAACAGAGAAAAATATATTCAACAAAAATAAACACATACGATAATGGGTAATATAATATTCTTTCAATTTGTAGTATTCAATTTTTCAACAATAAGCTAAGCTATTCGTTAAACATCGAGTATTTAATTATTTAAATATTAATTTAATAATGATTATATAATGGCCGAAAAATTGTATCTGAGAGGCAGTTTCCACAAGAAATTTATAAATTTAAAGTACTTTTTTACTTAATATGTAAAAATCCTTCAAATCTATTTAGTTCATTACTTTCAAAATTTACTCTAAAATTTAAATTTAAATTTTGATGTGCCAAATACTTTATTCAATTTAAATGTTGGTGTGCCAAATATTTTATTCAATTTAAATGTTGATGTGCCAAATGCTTTATTCAAATTAAATGTTGATGTGCCAAATACTAGATCTATTGTTTTAGAAACATAACTCCATTGTGATTACTGATTTTTAAGATATATTTTCACTGTGTAGGTAGTCTCCTCATGTATTTATATTTGACTTCATGTGTGACCATGACGCATGGCCTTTTATTCCCCCAACGTTGCTGTCGTCGCGTCCGGCCATTAGGCTTTCTTCCGTTTGATAAGATACGACGACAGTGTACGTACCGGTAACCCATATAAATATAGACTAGCGTAATTTAATAATGGGACTAGATAATTGCCCGCTTTGCCATTATTTATAGTTCACACTTGTAGTAGATATAATGGGAATTTATGCACTTGTTTCGGGAATGTTTAATGAGCGATTTTGGCAAGATTAAGGAATGCCAGAGATTATGGAATGCCAACTAATTTATTGGGTAATGGTATGCCAGTGATTTCTAGTCTGGTTTATTGCCATTTTCAAAATACACAAAGTGCGGAAATGATTTCAGTTTTAGAATTGTACTCAGCATTTTGGAATGTTTTACAATTTAAGATAATGACCAGTGCCTAATAAAATTCATTACACTCGATAAAGCACATTCTATTTCAACAGACCTATATTTATAGTACTTCCCAGAGAGTTATTAACCATTTGTTGTTATCTTGAAATCTTACATACAGTAGAGACTTCTTTTGAACTTAAATTAATTAATATAAATATTCCCAAGACTTTTCCCAACCAAAACAACAGGATAGGGGTTTGAGACGGCAACAAGTTGCGAAAAAGTGACAAACTGGGAATAGGAAGCAGCCATATATACAAGTCTATATAGCACCGATAGATCTACAAATATAAAAACACACACTGTTGGCAACTGTTTCGGTGGCTCTGTTGCCAAAAAGAAAATCGGAAAAGTTTAGAAAATGTGCTAAACGACAACAGGGAAAATAATTTTCATTCGCGTACAAAAACAAGCCGCAAAATGAGCGACAAGCCAAAAAGAGCGGAGCATACAAATTGCTCTGCAATTTATTTTTATACGAAACGAAACAGACAAACACCAATACAAATGGGAGTGTATATACATATATAAGCGGTTGAGGTTTGCCCCCTATATTTGTGCTTGTGTTTGTTTATTTATAGATACGTTTACGAGAGAGTCGATCGAACAATTTCTCTCAGTGCCGCAGTTATCAGCCGAAAGCACATTTATAACCACAAAGGAACACACATACGCCGTATTGGCAAAAGGCTGAAACAGCAGCAAAAACAGCTCAAATCAAATAATGTTCGGCCAGCCCAAAACAGTTTGAGGCAAAACGCTCGCTCGCGATGACACAATAGCAAAATAGTGGCGCTGGCGAACGAATTTTGCGCTAATATCAAGCATACGCAACGTGGTGCGCGACCGACCAGCTATAAATAAAGAATCGTTCTTTTGTGCCATTTTTTAAGTGCGCAAAACCAAATATTTTCAAAATCTGTGCAATAAGTGAAGTGAAGTTAGCACGCAAAATGTTGAGTGATGAATAATTATAGATGCCATTAAATATTGTGGAAAAAAAACATAAAAATAAACATCAAGTGTCAGGGGATAAGTGATTAGAAAATTCTTGTGGAAATTTTGTTGAAACCAGCAGCGGCACAACGGGTCAACGTTTGCGGAATATCAGCGGCAAGCGACGCAGCAATATGATCTATATAGATGACTCAGAGCCGGAAGGTGGTAAGTCTACAAATTGCTGCAAAATCGAAAAAAAAAGCCGATAAGGGCTCGAATAGCTGTCAACGCTGCGTATGCGTGTTGTGTATCACCGGTGATAAGAATCGTTGTCAACTGTTATCTATGTATATACGTGTTATAAATGCATACCCTGATAAATGTCTAAAAATGCTATGTGTAATTATTGTATATTCTTCGACAGAGATTATACTGATAACTCTTTCCATTGCCTTTATGTCTTGAATCCCCCATAAGCCAAACTGCAAATAGACAAATCAAATCAACACAAATCTATGGCTTAGCAGCTGTTTTCGATCACTCCTTTTTTTGTTGGCCATTGAAGTTATCAGCAGTTAACTACGCTTTAATAAAGGGCCAAAACAATAAACATTTTCGGCCCATGATACTGATGCCGATGCAAAACATTAACTTTTATGCACAGATAAAAAACAAACCGAAACACAATTGCAGAATGGATCTGGCGAAATCAAGCTGTGAATGGTGGAAACAAATGCTTAAACGATTTAGAGCCGCATCCCAGGGGCAGTGGGCTTTTAAAAATACATGAATTTCAATAAAATACGGCCATGACTCGTTGGGAAAGCGGAAAAGTGGGGGCGTGCCCAAAAAAAAAGGGGCCCAGATAAGGCGCACTGTGATCAGGAAACATTTGCGACGCCGTTTCCATTGTCAGAAACAATAAATTTCACGCATAAAACAAAAGAGGGGCCAAATATATATATATATACATTTTTTTTTCTTTGCCTGCTGCATTAAAGCTGAAATGAAAGGCAAAAGGAAGCGCAGACGATGAAGGATAAATGTCACACCCGATGAACGTTGGAAAAACTGTGGTAACTGTATCTACAGTGGCTTAGCCAGCCGAAGACAAAGGCAAGTGGAAAACCCCAAACTTGCAAAGGGAAAAAGGAAGTGTCAAGTAGTTGGGCCAGCAGGAAATGGTTGAGGGGTAAAATTCTCGTAGCATGAAAAATGTCGAGCGTCGGGCAATTTCAAAAATGAAAAGAACCCAGAGCAAAAAAAAAATGGACGCGTAACACGAGGAGGCAGAAGGAAAAGCACCCACAGAGTCCCACTGATTTAGTGCCATCCAATCCACCGTGTGGGCCCAGGACACAACAAAAAAAAAGGGTTACGCCTCTCGTTTTGCCAGCCATCGAGTTTTCCCAGGCAGTTTTCCCAAATTGGCAAATAACAACAAACGGAAATACTTGTCTACCTGCGGCAAAGGTGGCAACCTGACCGATTGGCCAACCTTTTTCCCGGCCAATTCTCACTTTTCCGTGTGCAGGTGTATCTCGGGTTTGTCTCAGCTGAATTATGTGTGTGCTAATGGCGCATAAGCTGATTTCTCAATTTCCTCTACCCAGCTTGTCTGGGCAATTAAGGGAAATCTTTGGAAAAAAGACACTTTAATCGGAGAGGAAATGAAAGCATTTACAGCGGAAATTGCCAAACCGCAGGGAAAACCAAACACGTGGAATTTTAATAAAAATATTTTTATATTTTTCTACTTTTTGTTTACACAAACTCTAGTCAAATAAATCAAACAAGCAGGTCCTATTATATTTTAAATGTAGTTGGTTTTTATACATTTTCCAGCTTTTATTGTTTGCTCTGGAGGCAGAGAAAGCACGCCGATATTGTATAAATATTTAAACAAGAAATCTGCATAAAAATGCTGGCCAGCGTCTGATTGTGGCGTCATTAGATGAACGAAATATACATATTTCTTTATAAAGATGATTTTTCAGCATACAGTAAAGACGTATAAGAAAGGAAAAATGTATTTGAATTTATAAATAATGGTCCTATTTTGTTTTAAACATTTTGCAGTTATGGTGTAAATATTTAAACAAGAAATTCCCATAAATTTTTCTTTATGAAGACGATATAAGCATTATATAGTAAAGATATAGAGATGATTTATGTATCAGACCTAATTAATAATGCTTAAATATAAAAGTGTATTATATTTTAATTATTTGAGACTAAAGATCAAATTTTTTGATTTAAATTATTAAATGGCTATAAGACACAATACTTTTCTAGCTCTTAACGAGTCGGTCATTTTGGGGAGCTCACTCGGTGGGTGGGAAACATTTCTCATTTCTTTTTTACCCCGCTGCTAACCAAAAATATTCAAAAATAAATTTGTATTTCGTTTGGATTTTTCGTACTGCGCTGCCAAGGTGAATGTAAAGCAAACAGGCAAGCGCGAAAGAATCTCTCACTGGCCGTCCTGAAAGTTACTCGTCCGATTTTCCCCCTGAGAGTCGCCCGTATATATAGATCTAGTTGCTTATATATAATCGAGATAAATTTATTTTACGTCGCATTTCATGTTGAAGGTCGTTCGTTGATATTCACTTCAGTTGACGTTGCGAATTCCTCGACTCTGCATCATCGCGGGGTCTGTGTACTCTACTATGTGCGTTTGGGGTTTTCAATGAGATTTGGCCAGAACTTGATCATTTATCTGGTTGTCAAGTAATTATGTAAATATTTCATGTTTCCTGATTTTCTCAGCCCAATATTTGGCTCTGCCTCAACCACATCCTATAGATACTTTGTCGTATGTTATGTTTTTGTGACTTTTTGGCCTTAAACCAAAATTTCAGAATTTATGTTTGCCCCCACTAAAAGGGAATATTTATTAACCCGTCTTGGCGAAGCTAAATTAAAAGACATTTAATTTGCATATATCTGGGGACTATAACAATTTATAGAATATTTAATTCAGCTCCAAGGCATTTTGGGCAAAAATAGGAAAAACGATTGCAAGAATCGTATAAAAAGGAGATGTAGCTGCGAAAATGTGCTGTTTGGAAACCAGCAGTCCAAAATCCATTTTTGTTTCCGCCGCTTGCCTGCAATGTTGTTTAAATTTTTAATGCAAAAGTATCTCCGGCAGTTTGTCTGGGCCACAGCTGCAGGTGGAATGGCAGTATTAAAAATGCAAACAGGGGCGTAGAGTGCATATATGTATGTATGGAGCGGGTTTGTGTGATTATAGCGCATACGCCATGTGGTGCAGATGCAAGAACGGCAATGCCGCATGCTAAACAAATTAAAATTGCAATTTAATGTATTGGCAGACAGACAGCCAGGAAGCCCTGTTAAGATTGCATTTGCCAAATGCAAAACTAAACAAACAACTGTCGAATGGCGGAATGAAGAGGGCGAATCTGCTTGTTGCAACTCAATTTGCATGTAGACACTTCGCGCCCCAGAATGACAAACGGAAATTTCCATAATGCCAAACAGTTTCAGCCAGAACCACATTCGAAAACAACCCCAAAAGCCGCCCAAATACCAACTGCAATTGTTATTCGGGCTAAGGACACTGCTCGCATCCAGCGAAAATAATCAAAATTATGTAAATGCTCTCTTGTATTCGCATTCGTATTCGTATGTTTTTATTTATTAGCAGCCTTGCATTCCGCCTTTGCCTGTCATGCCGGTCATTTCATTCACATTTGCATTGCACGTAGTCAACAGCATATTCGTTTTGTAATTTCCCATGTTGCTGATTTATGGGGCGCAACTAAATTCCACTAGGACATTCATTATATAGTCAACTCGTCACAGTATCCCCAGCTAATCAAATGCTGCCAATCATTTTAATGCATATTGCGTATCGTGACTCTTTAGTTTTCACCATGTTTTCATTACCCGGGGATTATTGCGATATTTAATTGTTGACCAGCTACTGGTATTTAAAAGGCCATAACTCGTCGGGTATTTTCGCGTATCTGCCTCGGTAATCGCCTTCATGCGGCCAAACAGATCGTTAATTCAGAGCGATTTTCCCATTCTGGCTGAAATTAAATTAAAGCCCATAAACTGTAACGGCCAAGAGTAATGCGTTGGTTAGCTGCAAGTGAGATACATCCACTCTGAGTGCGAGTATCTTTAGCTGTCGACGAATCCACAGACTGATGAGGCACTTTGGATCCTGTTGCCTGTCGGAAACTGTCTTGTCAATCGACATCCTTTGGGGAATGACTGAAATGCAATTGGAACTTGGCTCAGCCATTTGCTACGATAATTTGTGAATGAGCTTGGAGTCTCAATCAGGCTTTAATTGAACTAGAACTGATGTAGCTTGTCTCTAAACAATAAAATCTTTAGCATTTTGAAGATACCTTAATTTTTGAATAAATGGGAACACCTCTATTTCCTTATGTTTTTATAATTCTAAAAAGACTTTAATGGCATTGTATGGTTAATGTAACCATACAAATTGTTAGTCTTTTCATTTGATAAGATCTTTGTCAGTTCTACTTTTAAACGGTTATCTTATCTGAAAAGTCATTTATATAGACTGAACAAAAGACTTCATTTGTCTTGCTTGTCTTTGTATAAATTACTATACTGTCTCAAATAAAATTATAGATTGCATTGCGAACTGAGTAGAATATTTTCTTTATAGAGAATTCACTGACAGCTTAGGTAAATGTATACATTTCTAATCGCTTCTAAAAAGTAAATTAAAGTTTAGAGGGCGTAGAAATCTACTTGCCCCTACGTTAAACGAACTAGTTAAGGGCATAAAAATGGTACTTTAACGGACTGTAGAACACGTCATTGGCTCACTGGTCACTGAATATTTGAGCACTTGCAGCGAGCGTATTGTATAAATAACATCAACACCATTAAATTGTCAAACGTGCCACTGCACTATGGGGTTTTTGACCACTTTATGTGGCATTTAGTCATTTTTTAAAAGTGCTCTAATTAAAAAAAAAAAAATGGAGTGCATTAACAGAACATCAAACTGTTATGCCTCATACTCAAAATGTTAATACTTAACAGCATATGTTAGCATAACAGCTGTAAAGTCAGCTGTTGCATCCAAAAGCACCAGCGCTAAGTTTGCAATTTTTTCAAAGCGTTCTTTGAAATTAATTTATTCGTGTAAAACACCATTTGAAAAGAAAAAAACAAATGGAAACTGATCTCACAGGCTTGTACTATAT